GAAAGAAAGAGCCCCCCGCCTTTTTTTGTTAATAAAAAGCCTTGAAGAACATCTGACATTTTAAACTATGAGGAGCACGTGTGCAACTTTGATTTTCAAACTTCCTTCATACAACTTGATGGTCTGACCTGCGCCTAGACCTCTACGTAACAAACTGACAATGATCTGGTTTTATATAACAAAATAAAACAAATCACAACTTTTATTAGATTCCATCATTGTTGGACAAAAATTGATGTACGCAGTTCTATGTGTGCACTTGGACATGAAGAGAATCCTCCTAGAGCAGTAACTTTGTAGAAAGTGGGTTTTACACCTTATAAAGTTTGCCCAACTTTCATTCAGAGCCTATTAAAGAAGGAGGCAGCTTTAAGGGCAGAGGACATCACACTGGCGGTGACACCACAGATGATCTAGATCTAACGCGCACAGATCTCTCCACTAACTCAATTTCCAAAGTTTGGGAAGAGGAGAGCCTACAATTTTATCTGTTTATACAGATACAGGCCAAAGACTGTCTTGATTCATTAAACCAATAGTGACGGAGGGCAGATGATACATTATGGGCTGTGTCAGACACTGAAGTTATAATGAACAATAAGACCCAAGCATTGTTTGTGAAGAACAGCATCCTTTGGGAAGAAAAGACTTGAAAGCCAGTCATTAAGAAGGATTTTCCCGTTTGGCTCAGTTTATGTTGGTATTGCTTGAATCTTTTGTGCTGAGAATATGTCCATCTATTCCCCACGCTGTAAAAAAATTAAAAACCAAACAAACTCTGGAAGGATTCTGTTGCCCTAACAGATGTGTGCAGAGGATGAAAAAAAAAGGGGGGGGCGGGGCTGCCTCAGCACTAGAGAAAGAGCAATTAATTTGGGGGTTTGGGGGTGGGAGGTGGGGGAGGAATAGTCAAGGCTTTCCCCTGACTAGAATAAATGACATTTATTTTGAATAAATGACATTTACATTGGATCTTGAAGGAGAGGAGAATAGAATTTTCCCTAGTATGCCAAGCTTCAAGTGTCAAAGAAGACAAATGATTGGGTCCTAAAGCTTATAACATTAGGTAGGTTATACTGGTATGGACACAAAAATTTAACTTATTCCCACCTCACCATCCTGCTAAGGCAAGACAAGGCACATCAATCTATAGAACGGACTAGCTTCTTCCTTCCCGGCGCCTGGCCTGTTCACCCTCAGCTTAACAGGATGGTTAAATTCATTCTTGAATTTGATATCTCAAGGTGAAGAATACTTCACAGACACAAATCCATATTCAGAGTGTACTTGGGGATGGATCTGCATATAGTTGGGGATTAAGTAACTTGGTACAAGTCATGCTTAAAGGCTGGAGTGTTTCAAGTTAAGCTCTTAATAAAAGTACTATTGACTTGTCTTCTAAGGAAACTCCATGTTGTTAATAAGAAAATACAGAGAACACTTTTTAGAGGCTAACTCTGAAGGCTCTTCTCTAATTCTGTTGTCATTTTGACACTGTCTGTTAAAGCTGTGCCATTTAGCAATGATACAGGGCCCCCAGACACATCAAATTATGAACGTGAGGAATTTTTAAATACAGCTGACCCTTGAACAACGAGGGGGTTAATTCACATATAACTAACTTAGAGGAGGTCCTCAGTATCCGAGTATGTCCACATCCACAGATCAACCAACCACAGCCTGTGCAGTACTGTAGTATTTACTGTTGAAAAAAATCCACAAATAAGTGGACCCGTGCCGTTTAAACCTGCGTTGTTCAAGGGTCCACTGTAAGTAATTTCAGCCTGCCAACGCCCACTGTCCTAGATATACCCAGGTGAATGTGATGATGCCCTAAAAAAAATAACCTTGGGGAGGTACATTCTGTGGTCTGATTTAGAAGAGTACAATGGTCCTTCAACTTGAGCGTGCCTCAGTACACCCTGGAGGGCTTATTAAAACACGGGCTGCTGGGCCCCACCTCTAGCTTCTGATTCAGTAGGTCTGGGGTAGAGGTTTGAGAATTTGCATCTCTAATAAGTTCCCAGTTGACAGTGATGTTGCTGACCTGAAGATCACATTTGCAAAACCACCAGAACAGTAAATCCCCTGCAGAATGTACTTATATGAAATGTACATGAAATACATTTCATACTTACATGAAATAAGAGCCTTAGTACATACTAAGTTTACTTGTAATTGTTAGTAAATTTAAATAAGAATTAAATCGTATGATTAGTGAAATGACTCTGAACTCACTTGGAATCCATTTTGGTCACCTTCTTGGTGAAAAATTCATCTACACCTTCATCCACTCTCCCCATAAGACCATTCTGTTCACCATCTTGGGAGACTATGCTGGTAGCACAGCCCTGCAAACCAAACAGGTGTGATATTAATTTACATTCAACTTAATTCGGCAAACATGTATTGCTAGATTCAAGGCACTGTGATAAAGGCCATGGGAAGGACAAGACTGACTGACATAGGGCCCTTATATTCTACTGGAATAGAAGTCACATTACAACTGTAACAAGGGTAGAAAGAAACAAAAGTGAGAAATGCACTATAAACACAAAGCCTGCTGGAAGATTAAGCCTGACTGCTGTCTCAGAAGCAGCTTGGAACCTAGCACGCTATGAAGAGTCATGTGTTCCTGGAGCAGAGGAAGGCATTGCGGGCATATTGGTAAGGGAAGAGAGAATGCGTGAGAAAATGATACATACACTAAGTTTTGAAAACAGTAATAACTCCAGTGGCCGGGGCCTGAGGTTTAGGGATAGGGTTAACTGCTGAGTATTAACCCTAGCAGATACTAAAAATGGCCACTCCAAACACCCACCACCACCACCACCACCTGCTTTCTTTCTTGCTTGCTGGAAGAACCCTGATTTCAAGATGGAATACTTATCTGAACAAGTCAAATACATTAATCTCGTTGTCTGTGACCGGTAGGCACGGGCATGTGATACAGTTCTGGTCAGTGAGTTACAAGGGGGCTCATGGGCAGGTTTTCCTGCAGAGGAAGGGATGCATTTTTTTCTGCATGGTTGTGGGAGAGAGGATGTGATGTCTGAGCTGCAGCAGCCACCTGGAGTTCAAGAGGAAGCAAACCTGAGGACAAAATCCACCATGCTGAGGATGAAAGAGCAGAACAGTGGAAACCACATGGGTGCTTATGCTGTGCTGCATAAGCCAGTCCTGGATCCCGAGACTTCTGGATTTCTTGTTAAGTAAGAAAATAAGGGGCTTCCCTGGTGGCGCAGTGGTTAAGAGTCCGCCTGCCGATGCAGGGGACACGGGTTTGTGCCCCGGTCCGGGGGGATTCCACATGCCGCGGAGCGGCTGGGCCCGTGAGCCATGGCCGCTGGGCCTGCGCGTCCGGAGCCTGTGCTCCACAACGGGAGAGGCCACAGCAGTGAGAGGCCCGTGTACCGCAAAAAAAAAAAAAAAAGGAAAGAAGTATTTCTCATGATTTAAGTCATTTTTAATTCAGTATCTCTCATTATCTCTAGTTGAATGAATACTTCCCAACTAATAATACAAGGACTGACAGTGAACAACCTTGAATCCTATGCTAAAAAGTACGGAATTGGGCTTCCCTGGTAGCACAGTGGCTGAGAATCTGCCTGCTAATGCAGGGGACACGGGTTCGAGCCCTGGTCTGGGAAGATCCCACATGCCACAGGGCAACTAGGCCCATGAGCCACAACTACTGGGCCTGCGCGTCTGGAGCCTGCGCTCCGCAACAAGGGAGGCCACGATAGTGAGAGGCCCGTGCACCGCGATGAAGAGTGGCCCCCGCTTGCCACAACTAGAGAAAGCCCTTGCAGAGAAACGAAGACCCAACACAGCCAAAAATAAATAAATAAACAAATGTGGGGTTTAAAGAGAAAAGAATATTAAAAAAAAAAAAAAAAGTGCGGAATTTACTTTGTAGGTGAGAGGGAGCCTCAGAGAAATGCCATGGCCCAACCTGTATTTTGGTCAGATGATTCTGGGGCAGCATGTAGGATATACTGGAGAAGCCAGGGATTATAACTAGGGAAATCCGTTCAGGAACACAAACGAAAGACTTCTGTGATTGTTTGGTCTAATCTGGAGGAGATGAGGGCCTAAGTACTAGGGAAATGAGAAGAGAAAGAAAGACGTTGCCTAAGATGAGGTTGAAGTTTCCAGGCTGGGTGATCGGGAGCATCATTCTAGGGAACACAGTTCAAAGATTCAACTCTGGGAAGAAAATGATGAGTCCAATTTCAGGCAGTGTTATCTGAGGTGCTGTGGAAATCCAGGGGCAGGTGTTGAAAGCTTGAGTCTCAGGACAGAAGCTGGTGATAAGGTATATGGAAATTATTCATCAATCTAGCATTTCTCTTTGAATGGACAACTCATAGTGAACTCGGTAACATGCTTGGTTTGTGTCTGCAATAGTGTATTAATATTTCACACAGATAGGTTGTGGGCCATTGATAAAGGACATGTATCTTGCCCATTCTGTTGGGCAGAGGACAAGTTCCCATGTGGTTGCGATATCTGAGCAGGTTGTCTTGCCATAGAGTGGTGGGAAAGTTCCTTCCTGTAATCTTGATTTGCAAGTCTCAAGTTGCCTCTGGGGGAACCTGGCTCTTGTCTGCACAGGCACTGTTTAAAGAAAAGACCCATCATTTGCTTTAAACCATCATTCACTGGCAACGTCCATTATAAAAATGAGCTGTGTGTTTGAGTTCACATTTGTGAAATGCTGAAAAGTGAGCAGACAATAGGTAACAGACCAAGAACCCTGTGAAATGTGAATAATGAAAACAATGAGACCTCTCATCTGAATGGTGCTTTATAGTGGAGCAAGGCTTTCTTGTGAATTGCAGGAGAGCAGAGAATCAGCCAAGTTCGACAATTCAGTTATGGAGAGAAGGCAGCTCACTGAGTAACTTCTGTTTAAATTACAAAAGACAAAGTAGGGGGAAGGGTGAGCTGTCACAAAGCAAGAGAGACACATGGACATATATACACTACCAAACGTAAGGTAGGTAGCTAGTGGGAAGCAGCCACATAGCACAGGGAGATCAGCTCGGTGCTTTGTGACCGCCTGAAGGGGTGGGATGGGGAGGGTGGGAGGGAGGGAGACGCAAGAGGGAAGAGATATGGGAACATGTGTATATGTATAACTGATTCACTTTGGTATAAAGCAGAAACTAACACACCATTGTAAAGCAATTATACCTCAAAAAAATGTCCAAAAAAAAAAAAAAAAGTAGCACAGAACTTGCTTGGATTGTCATTTTTCCTTTTGTAAAAGAATGGAATCTCTACAGTAATAATAGCTCCCTAAGTTTGTACAGTGCTCCATAGTTTACTATTTCATCTTCACACCTACCCTTTGAACTGCAAAGGAAAGACAGTGTTATCCTAGGTTTTGGTTAGTAGATCAAACCATGGCTCAGAGGGTGAGGGGTGCCCACACAGGTCACCTGACTGATGGATGAGAAGGATGTGACCCCAGGACATGTGGTCCTAACATGGGGCTTCCTTCCAGGGCACCCTCGCTTGCCCTCAGAGACTGCCTCTCAAATTCCTCTTCCCATTTTGAGGGGAAAAAGAAAGTTTTACTAGTATAATTTCTCCTTTCAGCCCTTTTCTTTTTTGCCTGCTTTGAAACAATTCACAGCTAGCATAAAAGGTCTCTGGGGACATGAAGAACAATCAATGGATTTCAGAGATGGAGGCACACAGGGCTCAACAAAGCAATCTGGTTTCCTGTCCTGTAGGACAGGCCGGTTTTTAGGGCTGGACAGGACCTTAGAGACTCCACCCACCACCCGGGGTCCAACCCTGTCATTTTAGAGATAAAGAGACTGGGAGTAGAGAGATTAAGAGAAGTCCAGGATCACTGGGATACCTTGAGCGAGATGCAGCTTAAAATGCATGTTAAAAGCAAGAGGTGTCAGCACCCTGTAAGAAGAGCAGCAGAAAAGCTGAAGACTAAAATGACATGCGGTTTGTCAGGAGAGTTCAGAGCCAAACACATGCTGTTTCAGCTCACTATCCAGCAAAAGGAAAGGAAAGGAAAGGAAAGGACATACAGACATCGGAAGTTCTCAAAATTCCATTTGATTTTTTTTTTTTTTTTTTTTTTTTTTTTGGTGGGGGGGGC